CATACTGGAGAGAAACCTTACAAATGTAATGAATGTGGGAAAGCCTTTAGTCGGAAAGTAACACTTACCTGCCACCAGAATATTCATACTGGAGAGAAACCTTATGAATGTAAGAATTGTGGTAAAGCCTTCAGTCAGAAGACAGGACTTAGAAGACATCAGAAAATTCATACTGGAGAGAAACCCTATAAATGCAATGAATGTGGGACAGCCTTCAGTCAGAAGAGAACACTTACTGAACATCAGAATATTCATACTGGAGAGAAACCTTATGAATGTAATGAATGTGGGAAGGCTTTCAAGCAAAAGAACACACTTACTGAACATCAGAATCTTCATACTGGACACAAACCTTATGAATGTAGTGAATGTGGGAAAGCCTTCAGTCAGAAGAAGAAACTTACTAGACATCAGTATATTCATACTGGAGAGAAACCTTATGAATGCAAGGAATGTGGGAAAGCCTTCAGTCAGAAGAGAACACTTATTGAACATCACAATATTCATACTGGAGAGAAACCTTATGAATGTAAGAATTGTGGTAAAGCCTTCAGTCGGAAGACAGGACTTAAAAGTCATCAGAAAATTCATACTGGAGAGAAACCCTATAAATGCAATGAATGTGGGACGGCCTTCAGTCAGAAGAGAATACTTACTGAACATCAAAATATTCATACTGGAGAGAAACCTTATGAATGTAATGAATGTGGGAAGGCTTTCAAGCAAAAGAACACACTTACTGAACATCAGAATATTCATACTGGAGACAAACCTTATGAATGTAGTGAATGTGGGAAAGCCTTCAGTCGGAAGACAGGACTTACAAATCATCAGAAAATTCATACTGGAGAGAAACCTTATGAATGCAAGGAATGTGGGAAAGCCTTCAGTCGGAAGAGAACACTTATTGAACATCACACTACTCATACTGGAGAGAAACCTTATGAATGTAAGAATTGTGGTAAAGCCTTCAGTCGGAAGACAGTACTTACAAGACATCAGAAAATTCATACTAGAGAAAAATAGCAATGTAATGAACATGGAATGGCCTTCAATAGGAAGATAATTCTTATCAAATACCA